TAAGTTCTCCAATTTTTCGCAGTTTAGCAAATATGAGTAAATGACACTCAGTTGTTTAACATCTGTCTTTTTGTTGATACAGTTGTTATTCATGAAAATGTGGGACATTTCCAGGAATAAACGTTTGGAAAGGTGTTTTTCTTTATCAAGAACTTTGATACTTGTGTAATTCATAGAATGCCCTGTTGTGTTAACATGAGATGCTAGAGCGCATCTTTCAGGATGAAGCCTAGCATCACTTTTGTGTGATGTAATCCTTCCTTTAAGAGATCTGGAGGTCTGACCTATGTATATTTGGTTGCAGTTGTTGCAATTGATGGAGTAAACTGTGTTGGTTAAGCCAAGCAGCGGGACTTTGTCTTTCATTTTTGAAAAAATGCAGTTTATAGTGAGGACGGATTTGCAAGCAATTCGAAAGTTCAAAGGACTGCACAATCTGATCAGCTTAGGGGTCAGTTCCTTGATGTAGGGCAGGACAGCAAAACCAGGTCTGGAGTCCGGGTTGGTGCTAGTACTGTTAGGATTGATGTTATTATTGGGAATTACATCAGTTCCGTTATCTCAAGTTATATATATATATATATTGATATAAGCAGAAAGGTTTTTTTTTAAATGGGAAGCTGTACTGAAAATGTATCGTATCAAAACTTCAAACTGTAAATTTCAATTATTTGAATGTTCTGTGTATATATTATGTGTATAAATTGTGGTTTTTAGCTCCTGTTGACAATGCAGACTACAAAAGAAAAATATGAGTCAAAAACAAAAGCTTCAGCTGCTGACCGTGATAAACAATACAGCAATGTGGTTGGAAATAAGAAAAATGATGCAGTCAGCCTCAGGGCAAAAACAAAGCCTTGAATCGAATTGCAGAAAACTTCAATTTTCAATGTTTTCTAAAGAACTTTGTATGGTTAATGGAGATAATGAAAAATGCTTATTTTTGGAAATAATCTAACCTGTTTACCATCATTCAAAAATATATAATCAAGTTTAAACTGTCATTTTCAAATATTTGAATATTCTGTGTATATGAATTCAGTTTGGATTGAAGTTCAACCCTGCTATGCATTAATAATAGACAAAAATATAACCATATAGTTAAAAACAATAAAACTAATCTGGTGACCTATCAATAGAAAAACTAGGCCTAGCTTTACCTTGATAAGAAGTTTAATTTCCAGTAGCAGCACTGATGTAAAAAGCAGAATTTGGTATATGTGAAAAAAAAGGAACTGTGATTAAATAATCTGTTGCAATATATCTTTTCAGAGGAAAAACAAAACCTTTTCCTGTTTATTTTGGCAAATAAAAGTAAGATAATACTGAGAGACATAGTTGGCTGCTTACAAGCAGATGATGTCTGATAGATTCCAATAAGGTCCCAGCATTTTACTTTCTTGACAGTGTTGTACAACATATTACAGTGGTGCTTGACGATCCCTGTGATAGTACTTTTCTTACTTATAGAATTTAAATAGTGTAGACTGTCAACCAATAAGCTAATGGACAGTCTAGGTAGGTACGTCCAGTTGCATGTTTAACAAGAACTAACTCTTAAAAAATAAGAGGACACTATGCACCAAAGTTAGTTAAAACTTTACGGTTATTCAGATATAAATACTTTTTCAGAGGCTGCTGGAACTCGAACAACTCAAAGAACGTTTCTTATTTATTAGATCGTGTTGTAAACTATATTAGACGTCAAAGCTAGTAAGGAAACAAATAAATTTTTTCCCAATTATTTTCTAATTATAAAAGGGGATAATTCATGTAAACTGTGCCCAGGAAGAATAAAAACATTGTATGAAAAAAGAAACACTAAAAAAATAATAATAACTTTTATTCAAACTGCTTTGCTACATATCAAGGGATATAGTTGTGGAAAGTAATTTGGAATTTTGTTTTCAATGCTGCTGTAAGTTTTTGCCAGGTCAAGCCATTATCAAGGGTGACCCTGAGGTTCATAACAGAATTTTTTCATTGTATACGACTACCTTCTGTCCAAACCTCGAGTGGGGATCGCAACGTTTTCTGCTACAATACGTATATTTTCGAATGATTACTTTTAATCAAATCAGCCATCGTTCCGCCCACTCTAGTACTTCCTCCTTTGCATCTTGTAATCTGACGTGAACCAGATTACCAGTACTTGACTGGTGCAGTCTCATCAGCATAGAGGTAGACTGCACACCACAGTTGTTGAGTAAAAAGCCAGTGAGGGATTGGTTCTAGGACCGAACCTTGAGAAAACGTTAAATTTGATCTGAAACTTCCTTCGACGCAGGATGTTAGTAGTTGTTTGAAGTGAAAAGGAGAAACAATTTTGTATTAGTTTATAAAAGAGACCCGCATGCCACACGTTGTCAAAGGTTTTTGAGACATCCAAAAGCAAGATGCAGGTACTCAAGTTGAGGGTGAATCCTTTGGGTACATGTTCCACCAGACTGACTGCCTAAAGCTAGGAACTTATGCTTCGACCGAGACTCGAATTGAACGTTACGAATCAAATGGTTATCTGACGAGAAAGAAAGGATTGGCTGCATACGAAAACATATATCCCTTACGCAGTTTAATCCACAAAGTTGAACCTACTATATCTATTCATGAATCAAAATAGTAGGTAGTAGGGATGGAAAAGATAACTTGTCATTTGGATAACCGGTTTCTTAGATCGGCCTGTTCAACACGTTATTTTATAATGTGCGGTTATTAGATCTGAAAGTTCAATTTCTTTACTACCTGTAATGCATATAGGCATCCTGGATATACCCCCGTATTGATATTTCAATCTCCAATACTTACCACCTTCCCCTCTGTACCGACGTCTAAATTTGTCAATGCAAGTTTTAGAAAAATATCCGATTAATCCACAACTAGCTTTTTATCAATAACCGCCCATCTCTATCAAATAGGGTAGGACGTGATATTGCATCTCTTTGAGGCTATGCTGGTTTCTTTGTTTCGTCCCGTGCTCTTGAGTCAACCGATTTTAACATCAGTTCAAATTTGAAATTTGTAGTCGGTTTTTTATATCGTATGCTTATTGCAGTGATAAATATAAGTGAAAATAGCAGAACCTGATTTATTTGAATCGGGTGAGCCTTCCCAGAGGTCCTCAACCCCTCTACTTCATTTACCGAGGAGGTATATTCGTGATAGGTCGAATCCGCTGGAGCATTATAGGGACCAAGAATTTCAAAAACGCTTTCGATTCACAAAGGATTGCGTGGCTCACGTTCTCTATCCTATGGTGGCTTCTTTGGGAAGACTAAATAATCGTGGGTTACCAATACCGCCCATGTTGCTTGCAGCTTTTGATGGGTTTACGTTTTTTTGCAACAAACAGCTTTCAGGTAGGTATGTTGGAAGGACGCATAAGAGCACGAACGCGAATGATGCAACCCGAGGACGCACGAGCCCACCTATATGTACGTCTAAATGAGGCGTACGAATTCGTATGGATTCGGGCTCGACCTTACCGTTTCTTTGCGGTACATCAAAATGGGGCACATGCTCGGTGCGTACTCAGTCTGGACGGAAATAAACATTTCACTCTGTAGTAACTATAAGTAGTGCACAGAAAAATGATATTGTTATCAAATACTATTTTTTATTTCTTCTTTTTAATAATAAATTTTCTTTAGGATGTGCCTCGTTCGAATCTTAGTTTGATACAATTTAATAGCAAAAAGAAATCTTCTTGATACATCCTGGTGGCTTTTTTAAAAACCCGCTCTTTTCATCAGCCAAGAAAACAAACAATAATCGTGATAAAATTATATAGCTAGGAGACATCCAGGGTAGATAAAGTACCTGTAGACCTAAAATTTTGCAAATCTATATATATATATATATATATATATATATTTTGTCGAAGTACCCAACAAAAGGCGGTAGCTTTAATTTTTTCACCTATATATATGTATATGAGAAAAGGATCATGCGGAGAAAAGTATATAACAAATAGAAAAATAATGGGCAAAGAGAAGTAGTAGATTCGACCTGATGAAGCCAACAAGCAGAAATACATATCGCTCGGGTTATCTATCCTATTTTCTGCTCGATTCCACTTTCCTTCTTTTTGCGGATTATTTTTAATTTTTTTTTAAACAACTGCACTGCATATTTAACTAAGATATCTTACATAAATTATTTCTGTATATACATTTCTGCCAGACCGCATTTCTTTTGGAGAAAAGTTTGTTTGAATTTACATCTGTTTCACTTTGAGAATATACCTACATATTATATGTGTAGCTTGTAAAGTTACTTGACGTAAGATTGCATATATAATATCTATATTTGGGGACTAGCACTTTGTACTACCATCCCACCATGGTGATATTTGAAGAGGATTCATGTTTTGTTTTCAATAACTATCAATATTCAACACTACCATGAGTCGCTATAATGGGACATTTCGGATCTACGTTTATATGTATCACGGATATATTCTCTCTTCTAGAAATATTGCCTCTTTCAATCATCATGTGTATTGTTACTCACTTTACCCGTTCAAAAATAAGTACAGGAGAGTTAAAAAGTAATAGATATATAAGAAGGTATACTTACCTCAAATATCTACAAACATATAATAACAAAAATAATAATTTTAATAATAAATACAGCGTAGTCAAAACAAAGAAACTGTTTTATAATATCCTTCAGATTGACTGAACTTTACCATGTATATATTCGCATGCATATAATCGTGTTTATGAGCTGTGGTGTGGGTAAGAAAAGTGGACTAGTGGTGGATTAATAATAACTTACAACTTAATATATTTTTCTCACACAATTTCTCACTGTATCTGTCTGAATACTACAACAAAACTACCTACGATGTACTAAAGTGTTGTGTTTTAAAATTCTAGGTAGTCACTGGAGACCTTTACTGTGTGCAACAGTCAACTGTGAGCAAGGTAATTAATAACATTTCGGTGTGTTTTGCAGAACAACTACCGAATTACATTTATTTCCCACGAACGCAGCAACAAATGATGGCGAACAGAACACAGTTTTATGGAATATCCCACTTTCTTAACGTGATAGGCTGCATCGATTGCACCCATATCAAGATCAAAAATCCATTTGGTGAGATAGGCGAAGTATATATGAACCGAAAGGGATGGATGTCCATAAATACCCAAGTAGTAGTTGAACCGAGCGCTGAAATACTTTACATAGAGGTCCGTCACCCAGGAAGCACCCATGATAACACCATCTTTGACAGAAGCTCCTTATGGGCTCGGTTTGAGAATAACGAGCTAAATGTGATACTGCTAGGTGACAATGGGTACGCTTGCAGGTCGTACCTCTTAACGCCTTTCATAGAAACAAACTCTGATCCAGAAAGGAGATACAACCGTTCACAGGAAGTAACTCGGAAGACTATCGAAAGGATGTTCGGAATATGGAAAGCTATATTGCCTTGTTTGAGGAGCGAGCTTAGATTAAAATTAGAGAATTCGTTAATAGTGATAGTAGCATGTGCCGTTTTATATAATTTTCGAATTAGATGTAACCAAAATCATGGCGACGAAGTCGTTATTAGAGAAGAGGCGGAGGTGAACAACGAAATACCTACTAACCCACAGAGTGGACTGAACAGGAGACAGAACTTTGTGCAACAACTCTTTCAATGAATTATGCATCCGAATCATCCATTCAAGACGGCGGTTGGTCTGAGTGCGATAATGTGATTTTGGTGTGATCTACGTGCGTGTGTACACAAAGGTGATAGTGGAAGGAACGCGTGTGAGTGCAGTGCGTTCTTGTAAAATTTCCTAATGGTTGTGTGCTGGTGAAGTGTTTGAGAGGCGCAGCGAAAGGAGACTATCACAACGGATATACATGGCGGTTATCAAGGTGTAGCATCAGACATCATGGGAAAACAGGCATGCTAGAAGGATACTTGAGAACACAAGAACCTTTGAATATAATCATCAAAGGTATTCCAGTCATCACCGGCTAAGATGAGGACATAGCGATAGCTGACCTTGCGATTCGGCGGAGCAAAATTCCGAAGAGGGAGCGCGTTTATCTTTGAAGGAGAGAAAATTGGTACGATGGAAGGGGGGAAGGGATAATTTAAACCAAAAGAAAAGCAAAATCAATCCATCCATTTGTGAGCTAAAATATGGAATATGATTCAAATATCTTATCACTCTTATTTACAATCTCTATTGCTACACCTTCAACGTTAGTACTATATATATATATCGTTCGTCGAATCACTTTGTATTGTCTATTTTCGACTTTCAACCTTATTTTATACTAACCTGCGGCCTTCAAATAAACGCCATTGATAATGAAGTTCTCAATATTTAACTAAAAAGAAATGCAGATACTCCCATGTATGAAATATATGATAAGGTATGACTGTAATAAAAATAATCGATAGAACACACACACATACATATACACCATAGCCACAAGATGTCCATAATTTGTTAACGGATGAAAATTAGAAATGACGAAATCAAAGTATGTCAGATGAACTACCGCTGGAGGTTCCGAAACTCCTAGATATGATTTAAGCTGTGAACAACTGTGATTCGTCAGCGAAAATTATACAAAATTTACAACTTGTTTAAATGCAATATGTAAAAAAAGCTGTCCAAGCAGTGATCTTGGATGCACCTGCTAACAAAATGACAGACATTTCATGGTTATTAATAACAGTTTAATCAATAATAATAAATAAAACATAAAACCCGCATATTGTAACAATAAAATTAGGCTTGCTGCAGCTCCTATTCAGCTTGCACGAGCCTCAATGCAGCAAGCATTTTCTTAGCTGTTTGACGCTTCTCTTGAAAAAATGTTGCGCATTGAAGTCCTGGGTAATCCGTTCCCAGGCTCCGTTTTTTTCTCTGGCGCTCACGCCATCAGTTTTTTTAATTTCCACCACGTCGCCATATTTTTTTCTTATACTGAGAAGCTCGAGTTTTTCATTTTCAGTCATAAATTTTGGCATAGAATCCATTCTTGTATTGAAAACTTCAGTTTATATGTGGCGCTTTGAATCCAAACGTGATTCAAATCGAAATAGATTCAAACACAGAACAGTTGAATATTTAGAATTGACAGCTTAATCAAGGCCAATCTATATTGTGATAAAGGTGTAAACATTGGTAAAAATAATGTGAGGGATTGATATATGGCAAAAAAGTTAATTCTGATATTGGCAATATACAGAGGCAAACTAAGAACGATAGAGAGCTGAATGATCTTCATAAGAAGGAATTTACACATTCAGGAACATGGAAGCATCCTAGCACCGCTGAAAAAGCCAATCCTGTAGTAACCACACCATTTTGAGACACATGAGTTTGCCTTTTGTGTTCGATATTGTTACAGAAGAATTTGTTAGTTTAAGGAATGCATAAGCCTGTATGTATAATCATAAGAGTTTTAAAGTTATGGAGCTCAAGATGAACTTTGTTATGCTTAGGCAATTGGTTCTCGAATGGTTAACGTTGCATGTTGGATAGCTGAAATGTCTCACGGAACTCGATAAAGTGCATTCTTGAATATTGTAATCGACATTTATATTCGACGATTTTCACAAAGCTAAGGCCATGTGTTTGAGATTTCTTACCCATTCAACTGAATGGCATACAGTTTGTAAAGTTGGAGTATTGCTAGAAAATCATTACCTTTTTCTTCGTTATTGACCACCATTGGCCAATAATTGGCCTCAGTAATTAAATACTTCACACAGTGGAAGCACAGTAGCAAATGATCACAATGACAAAAATAAAATTCCAGTGGTGTGATAAAGACTATATGAAATACATATTTCAACACTTATGGTTGTATCGGTGCTAAGGAGTAAAATGTAAGAAATCACCCTTTTAATGGTATTTTTCAGATCTACTTGCATTGCTCAAAGATACATCCCATCCTGAGAAGCCGAGATTACAAGATAGTGTTGCAGAACAGAGTAGTTCTAGTGTAAGGCACGTTATTAGAGGAAAAAGAAGAGTCGATATATTTAAATTGTTTGTCCACACAGTGTTTTGTTTGTAGAGCTTCTAATTTTGAAAGTAGCATACAATATTGTTAACATCATGATGAAACATTTGTTTTAAGACAAAAGAAGAATTACAAATTATGAAATCTGTATTTCCATATATTTCTGAAAGAACCTATTATATTTCTAAATAAATATTGATTTTACCAATGATGCTTTTATTTACATTCCACGAATACTTGCCATCTGAAAAGTATAATAGATGAAATTGTTAATGAACTCATACGTAGTATGTCAAAACGTAAGTATAACTAATTCAATGAAGACTTTATATCCAAAAGTTACAACTAATTACAGGAATTATGAATATGTAGCAAAAAAAAATATATCAAAAATGAAAAACTACATCAGTGTATCACAATAACCTTTATTCATTTTTAATTTACTTACATAAAACATACAGGGTGTTTTTCAATTGAATATCTATATTTAAGGGGTTAACTTTGAGTCCATTGAGAAACAGAGTGGTAAACTTTTCAAAAATTAATAAAATGTTTTGTAAAGATCTGGAATACCACTTTAAATACTTTATCAAAGTTTGGCATACATGTACATCAAGAGGTATTTGTAATGCAACATTCTTTCAATTCCCACCAGTGGCGTTCGTACGAATTTCACTTGCCTATTTTGGCAGACAATGATAGTAGGCAACTGATTTCTCTTAAAATAAAAATTGCTCTTAAAATCGTCAGTGATTTCTGAGCAAATTTTATGAAATTAAAATACTATTTCTTTGCAAGATCCTAATATCGTTAGTATCACAATGTCACTATGTATAAATAAACAGTATTTTTGAAAAGAATTTTTTTTAGTCAGACCTATGATTTCCACCCAAAAAATGGAAACTATTTCGCTGCATGGTGATTTTGTCATATTAACAATATTCAGAGACAGTTTTTATTTTTATGAAAACCCTACATAAGATTGAAAAACATTCAAGTGGTTAAATTTGCTTAGATGTGATTAAAAATTTTAATAAAAGAGACATCAGTGGCAAACCATTACTGCCTGTCAAAATAAGCAGGTGAAATTCCTTAATAGCATCACTAGTGGAAATTAAAGAAATGCCTCATTACTCATGTACAATTAGAAAACACACTGAATTGCAGCTCCTAGTATTACAAGAGGTAAATGCACACTTTTGAGCCAAAGATTTTTTTACTATTTCTATCATAACTAACAAACTCTGCTGAGTGTTTCAAATATCAAACCAGTTTAATTCTTGATATTTCTTTTTCAACCCGAAAATGCTTTCCTTTCACATGCCATACTTTTGATAGATTTCCCTTTTAAGTTGGGGTTCCAAATCAATTAAAAACTTTCAGTATTGAGATTTGAATTTCTTAATAAAATGATTGAAAAATTTTAAGTTTACTTACTTTTTTCCTTATACAATATGCTACAACACTAATATATGGTGCAACATATTTAAAAAGTACAACATACTGTTCTTTGAGGCTCAGTGCATCAATCTTATTACCTAGAATGTTAAAATTCAAATGAAATTTTGTATCTCAGAGCCAGGTAAGACCTACCTGTAATGATCAGCAAATTTACTTAACTTTATAAGTTATGTTAAGTCGCATATGATACAATACAAGACAAATTATCTGAAACGCAATTACCTTATTATCTCACTTATTGAGGCTTAACCTAGCCTGACTTTGAGGTACACTTTTCAAAATAATGGGTCTTTTCGGCTTATCTAGACCTTTGAAGTTTTTGAAATTTGTTTAACAGGAAAGTGATTCCCTGGATGAGTCCGAATTTTCTTCCATTTGTAATTAACTGTGGAATTTTATGTCATGAAGTTTTTCTGATTTAAATTCATGCTAGAACTGTGTTTACTCCCTGTAACACTTCATATTTGGTAATCCTACATTGATATGGTATTTCAAGCATCCTGAAGTAACAATGATAAATGGTAATTACGATCTTCACATACACACATTGTACATATTTGTAGCTTGACACTTCACATAGAGTCCAGTAATGATTTGTGAACAGGCATCTTGACATCAACAATGCAATTGCATTCGGGATATGTTTGTTATCCATGGAGGATCCAACTTCTTGTAAAGTCTGTTCGAATGAATTACACCTGAAAATAATGCAATAAGTATATAATATGAATATCCAATTATTTGTTTTGTAACTCACCAACCTTCATCAAGAGAACAGCTTGGTTGTAAGCTTCTGGACTTTTATACATACAAATACAATATTATTATATAATATATCCATGTGCATTAATTTTCCTAACCCATCAATTTCTTGAAGATATCACAGGTTGTGGAATTTGTTCAATGTAGCTATGTATTTTTGAGTGATCGACATTATTTGCAAGAAAACTATAAATTATGGTTCTGCTGTCATGTGTCTTGAACGTCAAAACAACCTCAAGCCAGAACTGTCAGTATGTCGGAAATCAAAAGGAGGACATACATGTACGTTAACGAAGAAGACGTAATATTATCAAAATCAAGAAGGCCATAAACGAGCCCTACAATTGTAGGGACGACTGACGATACGGGCCTAAAACATCTTCATTCAACGACAATGGAAAGCGATCTTGCAGGATGTTCTTGTTTAACTTGCGATAATCAA